GTCTCAAATGAAGAGTGCTTGGGGGAGGACGGGGGAGGAGTTGGAAGGAAGAGCATGACTAATAGGGAAGTACTAACTGGGGGCCTATTTACCCTTCACAACACCTTGAGTCAGAACCAACTCGATGGCAGAGAGTGAGGTGAGAGGAACGTGTCAGACCTTAGTAGAACTGGGGTAGCCAAAAGGCTGGGCGCTGCTGACTCAGTGGGGCAAACAGAAGCAAACAAATGATTACAAGAGTCAAGAGAGAGCGAGAGAGAAACATACTTCCCAGATAGGGCTCTTCGCTGGCACTGCTTATTGGGCTTGAATTTGATTCCATCAGTTAGCAAATAAAATCCTTTCTCCAATTATCTATCTGGTGATGCAGACTGCACCAGATATGGGAGGTAAGAATAAGAATAAAAGCTTGTCCCTGCTCTCAGGGTGTTCGGATTCTAGCTGCAGAGGCAACGCGGACCCACTTGAAATGACATCACACTTTGCTGAGGGCTCTGCAAAATGACCCGAGGGAAATGGGAAGGGAGTGATACTTGTGGGTGAAGATGAGAAGGGTCTTACGAAGAAGGCTATCTTTGCATGGCACGGGGAAGGATCCCTAACAGAGGGCAGCCCAGGCTTAGGGGGAAGGATGTACAGAGCATGTTTGGAAGTTGTCTGCTGTCCCATTGTGACTGGGGCATAAAGTATATAAAGGCCCAAAGAGCTGATGTGGCCAGAGAGAGGAAGTGGGACTTTGACTCAAAACTGGTCCCCTGGACAATGGAAGTCCCCGAAAGTTTAAGAAGGGAAGTTGAAGGTACCTCTCTGGTATCAGGGAGCCCTGGTGACGTTGTGGTTGGAATGTGAATTGGACGGCTCACCTCAAGGGTGGCAGTTTGAAACCACCAGCCACTCTGAGGAAGAAAGATGGGGCTCTGTACTTCTGTCAAGAGGGACAGTCTCAGAAACCCATAGGGTTGCCATGAGTCGGCATCAACGCGATGGCAGCGAGTGTTCGAGGTTTTTTCTCACTGGTATTGTTGTGGAAGGTAGATTGGAAGGGTGACCCTGTCCCAGGAGAGAAGTCATCAAAAACCGTTCTGAGCTAGGAGAGACTGCACTTGGATTCCCATGAATGTAGAGAGTGATGGGGAGTATTTCCACCAAACAGAAACCATCAGTGTCAATCATCTCAAAAGCACAGCGAGCAGTAGAACACTCTTGTTCCCAGCTGCCACGGAGTTCATTCCGCTTGGTGTGTCAGAGTAGGCCTGGGCTCAGTGGGGTTTTCAAAGGCTGCGTTTGCAGTAGATTTCTCCGCCTGTCTTCTGAGGCGCTCCAGGTCGATTGCACGGACTCCTCCATGTGCAGGGTGGAAGGAGAAAGCTTCTCAGACAGCACCGTGACTCCCCAGAGTCACTTACCTGTGAGCAGCAAGCATACCCAGGCCCCAGGAGGTGACTGCTGGCCCCCCATCCCTTCAGGAGGACCCCTCTTTTCCAGGATCCCCTTCTCAGACCTGTGCACACGCATGGTCCTTGACCCCAGGGCGATGATGCATGTCATGTCACAGTGGAAGCAGGACCTCAGGAATGAGGCTGCCAGGCGGCCTGGAGCAAAGGGAGCCAGGCCAGACGGCTTTCTGCTGCGAGCTAACCAAGAGGCTCAGGTCCATGTCGGCCGCCGCCAGCGCCTTTGAACTTCTTCCTATGGAGCAAGTGCACATAGTTCCAAGGGGGGGGGGGGGGGATCTTCAAGTGGACTTATGTTTTTAAAAACTGCTGAAGTGAGCAAGCTGGCGAGTGCCAAGCCTCTGGCCCATTTCCGGTCCTGATCAGGGAAGCTCCAGTGGTCAGTGGTCGGCAGGGAGGGAGCTGGCCCGTGTGTGCACAGGGAGAGTCTACACCCCAGCAGTGTCAGGTTTTCTTGTCACCCTCTGTCCCCCCAGAGCCGCATCGGATTCCCAAGGGCTTCTGGAGTGCTGGGAGCCAAGACTTCCGATGCCAGCTGACATTCGATAAGCCGCCTGTCCCATTTCTGGGACAGATCATGGTTAGTCAGGAAGCACCACTTCATCCTTCTGGAGGCCCAGGACTGGTTCTGCGGGGCCCTCCCTCTTCTCTCCACGCCCCAGCTGTGCCGCAAGGAGGAGGTGTCTGCAGGCCTAGCGGCCAGTTCTTCTCACTCATGTTTTCCTCCCGATTCCGTGTGGGAGCCCGGGGTGACCCTGCCCGGACTCTGCATTCCATTGGATGGGGACTTTTTCTCAGGAAGCAGAGCACAGGCCCCATTCTCGGTGCCTTGGCTCCAACTCACCCTGTCTCTCCCACCCCCATAATCGGTCACCAGTCTTGGGGAAGGAAGACCTACCCTTACTTGGGATGCTTTCTCTCCTTCCTTTTTCCATGTCGGGATCCCCTTACATTTCCCTCAGGGCCCTTTGAGACATAAAAGGCAGGAAACAGACTTTCTTTTCTCTACCTCCTGCTGCTATACACCCCCACCCCCTCCCCGAAGGCAACAAGCCAAGAAAGGCCCTGCTGTGGACCTGAGAGGACAAGCGATGATGGAAGCAGGAGGGAACTAGGGTCATCAGTTACTTGAAAAGTGTCACCTCACCGGCTGCTGGCTGAGCACTGTGAGGACTCCCCCCCCTCTGCAGGCTGGCCTGGCCTCTCCTCTTAGCTCCCCCTGACTGACTGAGCGGAGGCTGGCTTGAGGTACCCAGGGCTAGAATTCCTGTTGACTTGGAAGAGGAAGGCTCCTTCATCCTACAAAGCCCGTAGGAGACCCTCAGGAGTGGAGAAGGTGGCCAGAAAAATGAGGCTCTGAGGTTTTTCCGAGGGGCTGCAGACACAGGCTTCTCAGCTCACAGGGTTATAGGGTATCGTCATTTGGGAAATTCCCCACCCCCCCTTCTCTTTCTGTTGTCTGTGAAGTCCCTCCCCGTATCACCAGCCTTCTCCATCCCCTATTCCCACATTCCCCACTTCAAGCCCAGTCTCTTTTCCGGGAAGAGTCCTCTGGCCCTGCTGACCTCCTGGGAGGAATGCGCTCCCTTCAGCAGGTCATCCAGTGAGTCAGTAGACCCAAGCAATAACCCAAGCACCTACGGGGCTCTCCTTCATAGGACCCTTGGTGCTAGAACTCGGCTTCCACTGTGGAATGAAAACCTGTGTCCTTTGGGAGTCAGCACAGAAGTGGTGGAAAAAGTGGGGGCTTTGGAACCCAACAGACCTACGTCTGACTACCAGCATGTGGTCATCCCAGGCAGGCGTGCGATACGATGTCGGCATCACTGGGGCACACGTCCACGGATGGGTTAACCCCTGTGCTGTCTCACTGCCTTTGATCTGTTGGCCTATTCAGAGGCAAGGCCCTGGCCATACAAGGAGTTGTGTCTCTCACTTGCAAGAGACAAAGCTGGAAATTCTACTTAGAACATGTACAGCAGAAAATCTGAGGCTTGCTTAGGATTTGGCGATGCCGTGTCTGAAAGAATTCAGCTGGCCTGGTCGGAGAAGAAAGGACTCCCAGAGTAAATACCAGGTGTCAGGCACCTTAGATACTTTTCCCTACTTAACACTTACAAAGCCCTAAACGGTCAGTGCTACTGCCTCCATGTTACAGGTGAGGAAATGGAGGTCCATGAATAGTAACCGAGCAAGGAAGAGGCTGAGAGAGACTCAGAGCCTTGTCTACAGAGTTCCAAAGCCCTCCAGCACCTTCTCAGGGTTAGGAAGCAGGGTGGAGCTCTCTGGAGTGGACCTCCACTTAGGCTGACTGTGGACATGTACGACCCAGCTCTGCAGCTGGCCAGGCCTGAGGGCCAACAGAGGCTGATGTCTGATGGCCAGGAGCCTTCGCAGGCCTGCCCTGGGGTAGGGCAGGGAGTGGGGAGCATCCCCTGTCTCCTGTACATAGGATCACGAGAGGCAGGAAGCTTGGGGGGAACCACGGAAGGACACCAGCCTGGGCACACTCGCTTGTTCTCTAGGACAGGCAAGCCTGTGTGAAGCAGAGTCTGGGAAGCAGGGACCCTAGACCCCCCTGTGGCCGTGCCCCTTACTCACACGGTATTCTGTGGCTAGGACCCTGCTCCCGCCCAGGCCTTACCATATGGAAAAATGGAGCTGGAGCGCAGGAGCCTTCCCTCACATCTTCGGAATTTGTGGAGGAGCCAAAGAGGAGATGTGTGTGCCATCACCCCAAACAATGTCCTCTCCGGGGCTCTTCATCTAGAGATAGGCCTGAGGTATAAATAGCAATCTAATCTCTTTCAAATTCTTTGTGCTGTTAAAATGAAAGCAAAAATTCAACGCTGGAAGAACACACACACACACACACACACACACACACACACACACACACTCAAAACCCTCCCTTCTGAGAATTCTGAGTCATTCCACAAAGGGCAGTGGAGTCTGGGTTAACCCTCTATGTCCCAGAAGGGCCTCCAGCGCCCCAAAAGTAACCGGGACTCTGAGAGGCACTCACTCAGCTTCTGGGGCACAGTTCCAGGCCTTGGAAGGATGATTTCCCAGAGGAGTGAGGTCTGTTCCGGGCTGTGCTCAAGGCTCTGGAGAAGTATCTTTGGGACCAGTAGGAGGGGCCACTTCCAGGATGGTCAGCTGTGAGTTGGTCAGCTTCAGCCTGTAAGAAGCTGGAAAGTCAGGCAGACTTGTGGCCAACTCGGAGATCTGACCCTTGCTGGCAATATGGTGTTGTGCAAATCGTTGGGCTTCCATTTCCTCACCTGTAAAATGGGAGTGAAAATGATGTTGGTAACGATGCTATTGACATTACCCATCCCACGGAGTTGTGGCAAGCATGGAAGGGGATAGTTCCTGAGAGGCCCTTCCTTGATCTCAACTCCTGCCATTGCTCCAGCGCTTGCTGGGACATCTTGCTGGCTGACATCTGTCTCCAGGATGGAGGTGTTCAGCGGTCAGGAGAGGCCAGACCTGTACTTATACTGACTCTGTGTCAGAGCAGCCCTCTCTTGCCTTTCCTCGCAGCCCACAGCGTCCTGCGGCAGCTATTTCCAGGGCAGAGGCTGTGCTGTTGACCTAATCAACATAGACCTTTGGGGATGGATGGTTGGATGGACAACCCAATGGACAACTGTAGAAATGGAAGCATCAGAAGATGAGGTAGGTACCTGGATGAATCAGCAGATGGACAAATGATGGATGGATGGATGGATGGATGGATGGATGGATGGATGGATGGATTTACCAGACTATTCTGTTTGAATCTTGCAATTCCAAAGCGTGGACCCACTGTAATGCCTTCATATGGCTTCCATAAGCTAACATGTTGGCGCTGCTTTCTCTCTCATACCCACCCTGCCATCCATCGTCGTCCTGAGAGTACACTCCATTCTGCCCTGGGGAAAACACGTGGTGGTGAAAAGAGAGCAGAGGAGGAAACAGATGATAGGCCTGGGAGTCAGACTAGTCAGAGCTAGATGCCTTGCTGTGCCACTTCTCGGAGCCTCAGTTCCTTAATATATCAAGTGGAAATAGCAAAGCCCAATCTTATGGAGATTAAGTAAAATAGGACTTAAAATGCACCTAGCACAGTTCTGCTATTCAATCGGCAAACCTAGAAGAAGCTTGTGAAGGAAGGAAGTGCACAGACATATATTTGTTATCTTTCTTTCGTGAGCAGGGCGAGGGCCAGTGCCAGAGGCAGATAAAACATTGAACTGTGTATTGGGGATTTCGAATCTCTTCATTTACATAAATGTTTGACTAGTTATGTCAATAGAGGCCCTGGGCTCATTTGTCCAGGGCCTCTATTGACATAACCCGAGTTGCTTCCCTTCTCGGTACCTTAGTTTTCCTTCGTAAAAGATCATTTTAGTGGCATTTACTTCACATAGTACACAATCTGATCATTCATTCATATTCAGAACAGTGTGTGGTCTTCATCACAATAACTTTCAGAACATCCTTTTGTGCGCACTGTGGTTTGTTGTTGAACTTTGTTGTTATTAGGTGCAAAGGATCAGTTCTGACTCTTAGTGACCCTGTGTCCAACAGAACAAAGCCCTGTCAGTCCTGGGCCATCCTCACATTGTTCTTAGATGCAGCCCCTGTGTCCACCCATCTTGTCGAGGGGCTTCCTCTTTTTCGCTGCCCCGCTACTTGACCATGCACGATGTCCTTCTCCAGGGACTGGTCTCTCTTGACAGCATGTTCAAAATACATATTGTTGGCTTCCCATGTCTTTCCATCTTCCCCTGCCATACCCTTAGGTAAATATTAATCGTTACTGTTTCTATATACAGAAAATCATGCAAAACACCAACAGGATGAAAACCAAAAAACAAACACACAAAATCCCAATAACGACTAGACAAAACAGAAAAACTTCATTTGAAAAGAAAGCAGAAACGATTAAAAAGTGAAACAACTTTAAAATGTGCCCAAAGGGAGATCAACTAATAAGGTATTACATTTTCACCTAACCTAACATCTGCCATAATTGACTTTACAATGCTCTCTGTCTGATAGCAAGGCTGCTCATATCCCTGGACTATATTCAGAGGAGATTCAGCAGGGGTGGAATTCATGTGAGGACCCTGAAAATAGATTTTTGGCTTCCACTGTCTTCCATAGCATTCTGCAAACCTAGCAGACACACTTTAAGCCCCGATACCATTCCCTTCTTCAGATTTGGATTTTATTATTTCTAATCCTTGGCTCACCCAGGCTGGTATAGTTCTTTCACTTGGCCTCCATTGACGCTTCCCTTAGATGGCTGCTGCTTGAAGACAGGCCTTTAAGACCCCAGATGCTATTCTTTCTGATAGCCCAGCACCATCTGCTTTCTTCACCACACTCAGGATGGCGCCCATCTCTTCAGTGAGCTCTTCATCAGGGCAAGTATCAAATAAGGCCATGTCGTAAGAACTAATTGTTTTTAGATTGGGGCTAGAATTAAGCAGAAGCCCCCAATCCAGCACGAATTGGCTCTTGACACTGATCCACCTAACCTTTTACTGGCCAGTCTTGGGTGGCAGTGAAAAGTGCGCTGAAGATGGGTTACAGAAGTGGCAGCTTGGAGACCAACGACTTCTAAATAGTTTTTCCTTTTATGGGCCCCTGCTCTAGATCGCCACTTCCTGGAGATCGCATTCGAAACTCTGCTGTGATGGATGCACAGTCCGCATGCCCATGAGCTCCAGCGGAACCCAGATGTCACCCTGGGGGAGGGACTCGGCCTTTACCTTGCTATTTTAAGCAGCGGGTTTATAATCATGGATGGAAGGGAAAGCAAACAGGGCAGGAACAGTGTGGGAATGGACTGGCAGGGGGGGCTGCTTGGGCCTCTCCCAGGGAGAATGGGGCTTCTCCTCGTCAACTGTGGGGTCTCGGTCAGTGCTGACCCTGCCTTTATCTGGCAGTAGCTCACATCTCTTTTTTTTAAAAATCGTTTTATTAGGGGCTCATACAACTCTTATCACAAGCCATACATACATCAATTGTGTAAAGCGCATTTTTACATTCATTGCCCTCATCATTCTCAAAACATTTCCTCTCCACTTAAGCCCCCGGCATCAGGTCCTCATTTTTCTCCTCCCTCCCCCTCCCCCCTCCCTCATGAGCCCTTGATAACTTATAAATTATTATTTTGTCATATCTTGCCCTGTCTGACGTCTCCCTTTACCCACTTTTCTGTTGTCCATCCCCCAGGGAGGAGGTCACATATAGTTCCTTGTAATCGGTTCCCTCTTTCCAACCCACTCTCCCTCTACCCTCCCAGTATCACCACTCACACCACTGGTCCTGAAGGGATCATCCGCCCTGGATTCCCTGTGTTTCCAATTCCTATCTGTACCAGTGTACATCCTCTGGTCTAGCCAAACTTGCAAGGTAGAATTCGGATCATGATAGTGGGGGCGGGGAGGAAACATTTAGGAACTAGAGGAAAGTTGTATTTTTCATCATGCTGCATTGCACCCTGACTGGCTCGTCCCCTCCCCGAGACCCCTCTGCAAGGGGTCATTCACTATGGTAAGATTTTTTGTTCTGATGATGCCTTATACCTGATCCCTTCGACACCTCGTGATTGCATAGGCTGGTGTCTTTCTTTCATGTGGGCTTTGTTGCTTCTGAGCTTGATGGCCGCTTGTTTACTTTCAAGCCTTTAAGACCCCAGACGCTATACTTTCTGATAGCCGGGCACCATCAATCAGCTTTCTTCGCCACATTTGCTTATGCACCCATTTGTCTTCAGTGATCCCTTCGATACCTCGTGATCACACAGGCAGCTCACATCTCTTAGTGACTTAATTCGCATCTGTTTTATTTTGCTTTTTGACCCACAGACTGACTTAGGATCTTTCTTAAGGGGCAAGAGGTAGAAGTGGACAAAGGGAAGTGGAGATTAGATAGTGCAATTTTTCCGATGAGATTTGGAAAACTATGATCCCAGAATCCTCTGAGATAGGGTCGTCAAGTCTCATGGTTGGTTTTGATTAGGAAGGATTCAGGATTCCTTGGAGTCCCATGGTTGGAAAAGCCGCCTGAAGTGAATTAGGGATCCTGTGACTCTTGCCTTTGCTGGAACTCTGTTGAAAGGGGGAGTTCACTATGTTAAGGAGAAGCTCATTTCATCTTCAGATGGTTCCGACCTTTAAAACATTGACCCTTGCCTTGATCTGACCTTTGAGTCATTAGCTGTGAGTCTTTCTCTGGAAACAATAGGACCATCTGAATGCTTATCTAAGAAGATAAAGTCTCTTAGTTTTCAAAAAAAACCCTGATGGTCCTTATAGTATCTTGCTTCTTTTCCCCTGAATATGCTCCAATTTTCCCAAATCCTTAACATGTGGAGCATCAGGTGTTGTTGTTGTTGGACTCACAGTGACTCTGCGCACAACATACCGAAACCCTGCCTGGTCCTGTGCCATCCTCACAACTTTCTCCATGCTGAGTCCATTGTGACAGCCACCACATCCATCCGTCGTCTGGAAGGCCTTCCTCCATTTTGCTGCCCCTCTACTTTACCCAGCATGACATTCTCTTCCAGGGATGGGTCTCCATGTCCAAAGTTTATAAGAAGAAGTCTTGCCCCCCTTACTGCTAAGAAGCACTCTGATCTTACTTCTTCCCACACAGATGTGTTTGTCTTTCTAGCAGCCCATGGTACTTTCAGTATATTCTTTTCCAGCACCACAATTCAAATGCATTGGTTCTCCTTCAGTCTTCCGTCTTCGATGTCTAACTTTCACATGCAGATGAAGTGATTGGAAATACCCTGGCTTGAGTCAGGTTCCCCTTAGTCCTCAAAGTAATAGCCTTGTTTTTCAATACTCATAGGTGTCTGCTGCAGCAGATTTACCCAGTGCCACATGTCTTTTGATCTCTTGACTGCTGCTTCCATGGGCATTGATTGTGGACCCAAGCAAGACAAAATCCTGGACACCTTGAATCTTAGTGGAATTTGAGGCATAAAAGAAAAGTGGAACTATCATGACTCATGTTTTGAAAACTGTAGTCCCATTAGGGCCACCTGAACCTGTGTACACATCACATCTTTAGTTTTGTGTTTGCTTGTTTTTATTTGCATGGTCCATTTGTTCATTTGACAAATTGTTTCCAAACATCGTTGGTTTTCTTCACTTTCCTTTCCTCAGCACAGGTAGGGACTCATAGCTTTGCCTTAGATGGTTACTAATGAGTTTTTAAGACCCCAGTAACAGCTCCCCAAAGGAGGATCTAGGACATTGTCTCTGTGAACTATGCTATGCCATCAGACCTCAGTATTCCCTGAGATGGTGGTCCTGATCGCCCAGGCCTATTGAATCATTCCCTCAAGGCATTTGGTTATGTCTAAGAAGTGTCTGATGACTATGCCCCCTGCCTGTATTCTCCTCCACATCCATGGAGATATTTGCTGCAGAAGTAAAATACAGACGCACAGCTTTGGATATGTCCATGCACATGCCCTCACCTCCGTGCAACCCCTGTCACAAGAGATCTCACCTAGTGTCCCTGATGCCCTGCTGCTGAAGTCCCAGGGCAAGTGAGAAAGCCATAACAGGCTTTGGGTAAACGGATACTCGGTTTAATCATCCAGGAGCCATTTGGAATGGGAGGCACAGCATGCCCCGCCTCCAGAGCCCTCGTTCGTAAGACCTGGTTCAGTCTGTCCAGTATGGCTTCTCCCCTCTCAGTCCTTATGACTGCCTCCCGCTTCCCTTCTCCACCCTCCGGCTCTTCCGACTGGAGACATTTCTTTCCACATTTCAGTAGTGTGCTTCGGCTCAAACGATTTCTAAACTTTCACTAAGATCAAGTACACCTCCCACTCCAGAAGTAGAGACCCTTTCTCTGTGCTCCCACAGCATTTCCATTGTGCTGGTTTCCAGCCACCTCCCATCACTAGACACCACACTCCTTGAGAGCAGAGACCACATCTTCCTCATCTAGCATGAGGCCTTGTAGCATAGACAAAAAGTATATGTGGTGACCTCATGAATGGATGGATGGATGACATAGGTCATGGGATGAGATTTCTTGAGCCGACCAGCAGGTGTCACTCAATTGTTTCAGAGCTAAGTGGAGCTACCTTTCCATGGCAACCCCCCCAAACCAAACTCACTGCCACTGAGTCAATTCTGACTCACAGAGACCCTAGAAGGCAGGGTAGAAGTGCCCCTGTGCATTTCTGAGATGGTAACTATTTGCGGGAGTAGAAAGCCCCATTTTTCTCATTTGGAGTGCCGAGTGGTTTCAAACTGTTGACCTTGTGATTAGCAGCCCAACTTGTAACCACTATGCCACCATGGCTCCCCTTTCTATGGCAGAGAATGAAAAAAGCCAGGAGGATGGTCATACCGCCCATTCCCAGGATAGGAGGGGGATGGTGGCATCAGCAAGCACTTTTTGACCAATCCTCTGGGAATCCACAATAAATTAAACTCCTGGTTTGCCTTGGGGCGCTAATTCCAGAAAGGCAGAACAGGGGGTGGTGTGTGGGTGGTGGTGGTGGTGGTGGTGGTGGTGGTGTGTGTGTGTGTGTGAGACAGAGAGAGAGAGACAGAGAGAGACAGAGAGAGACTGTCCAAATGGTGGCTGATGCCTCATCCAGGCTTGCCCTGCCATTCCAGGGCCTTTCTGAGCCCACACACGGCCCATGGGGTAGGAAGAACACCTGCTCTCAGGGAAGTAGTAGGGCTTTCTGCTTGTTCTCCTGAGGCCGCCAGCAGTCAGCAGCACGTCACATAGGATGTTGTAAGAATTCAGTAAGTGACAGCGTCCCTTCATCGGTCCATGTGTGTCCCAATGACCCGCTCTGTGGCTAAGGACAGTGCCGATGCCACCTGTGGGTCTGTCTGGTAGCTTTCTTCTCAGTTGGCAGAGTGGTCCCTTTAGGGGGGCTCTGAGGTCATAGAACCAGACTGCTTGTTGGTTCGGCAGGTCCTTGCTCCTTGGTTTGGGCTCAGCCTCATGGGCCTAAGTGACTAGGCCATTCCAGAGTGACCAATTCCAGTGTGGCCAAGCCAGTCCAGTCACTTTCTTGGAAAGCAAGACATTTGCTTTGCTTTTCCTTTTGTTTGTCCCTTGCTGTAAAAATTTCATTGTAAGACAGAAAGCAGGGCAGCCTCCAGGAGAGCTGGGCTGGGCGGGGACCCCCTGCAGTCCGGACGAGCTCCCTGGGCTGCGCCCTGTACACAGGGGGTCTCTGAGCAGCTGTTCCGTGTGGGGCACCCTCTTTCCTTTCACCCTTGGAACAGCTCTGCGCAGAAGGCATTCTCACCCATTTCCCCGATGGGGAAACCGAGGCCCGGCGGTGAAGTGAACTTTCCACGTCAGCCAGCCAGTGAGTAGCAGTAGGGTGATTGCAGTCAAGGGTCTGCTTCCTTCTGCTGTGCGGCCCTGCCTCTCCTAAGACTCGTCATTTAAGTCTGCAGGGCAGTTGGGCTCATTGGCTCTGTCTGTTGGCAGGTGAGAGGGCATCGCTATCCCAGGTCTCTTGACTGTTATGAACTGAGAAAGAGCAGGCAATGCGTTCACTTACGTGGAAGAGAAAAGGCAAAGCAAAGCGACTTAAACACTAAGGAGATTTCATCGTTCAGCTATCTGGCTGGTCTTAAAGGCGTTTAGGCTTTGGGTGCCTTTCCATCCGGCTGCCAGTGATGTCCTCAGTCAGTCTGTCCCTGTGGAAGCAAGTGGCCTCAGTGTGACTAACCTGAGTGTGAGAAGGCCTATGGTTCCAGCAAGGAGGCCCTCTCGGAGACCAGAGGAATGCCCTGCGCTCATTGGTCTCTTGGTCTTGTTGCTAGTTGCTGCTGACTTCCCTCCAGCCTTTTGTGTAACAGAACTGGAGGGGGGCTGGTCCCATGCTGTCTGCATGATCATGGTATGTTTCCGTCCACTGTTGTAGTGATGGCTCATTGGCTTTGGCTGGCTCTGTTTTCTCTCCTGTAGCCAATCACTGGGTTATGTTGTTTGGGCTCAATCCCAGCCAGGCCCCAAGGCTTATGGCGAAGCCCTTGAAGTGTGTTGTGAGCTGCTTGGGTGGACCTTGCATGAGGTACACAGGAGCCCACCTGGCTGAGGCTCTAGAATTGTGGCTTTCGAGAGCTGTCGGGCCCAGTGAGGGCTGTGTCATGGAGAGAGAGCCTGCTGAGGGGTGCCAGGGGAGGAGCATTGAGGGACGTCAGGAACACGATCGCTTACTCTCCACATCCACATGACCAAAGGAGGCCAGGTGGTTTAGGGGAAGGTGGTCTAGCCACAGATCAGGAAGAGCTTTGTCCAAATGCTTGGTTCGTCATCTGTTTGGAGGCAAATGTCCTTTCCTCCCTTAGGCAGCTCCTTCATTAATAAATCAAGACTAGTCATAATAACATCAGAGATCCTTGCAAGCATTTTAATTAGATGATGTGGATAAAGCTCCTTGAATAGTGTCTGGTTCAATACATGGTACACAAATATGAATCTGATCCCAGAGGAATGTCTTCCATTAGCACTGGTTTTGAGGAGTTTGAAGAAGTTTTCTCCCTTCTGGGATAGTCTTATTTACTGTAAGGACCAAATTAGATGCAAATCTCTAAGGTCACCTCTGACTTAGTAAACAAAGCCAGAGAGCGGGAGGAAATGCAATTCCAAGTGTCCTCTCCTAGCCTAATTTGACCTATAGTGTTGTTGTAAACTCAAGCAGGCGGATACTGTTTGGTCCTCTCTGTGGTTTGTGGCTCTTGGAAACAAACGGAGCCCAGAGCTGGATAGGGTGGGAATGGATTTGACTTGTCTTTTTGACGTCTCCTCAGCCTGCAGAGCCCAGGCCTCTCGGAGCATTGTTGGGGCTGATACATCGGAGGTTCTGGGCACATCCAGCCACGTTGCCAGGAGGCTGCCATGCCCCACATTCCTGAGGAGGAAGAGCCCCCCGGAGAGTCACAGGCAGCCCAGAGCCCCCACAGCCAAGTAAGTGCCCCTCCCTGCCCTTGGCTAGCTTGGCTAGGGACCAATCCAAGTGCTGTGGTGGTGGTGGGGGCTGCTTCTGCCAGTCCAAGGGTTTGCTGGCAGCCTGAGCACCTTGCCGCGGGTGTCTGGGGAAAGTGTGCGACTTGATGCTAAAGACAAGATTGTTTTGAATTTGTTTGAACTGACAGGGTCTGAGAGTGGGACTTTCTGGGGACTGAGAAGTACCTCATGAGAAGTCAAACCGTCCTACCCCTCAGCCCTGAAACAGAACGCTGAGTTCAGGGGGCCTCACTCTGTCGAGGTGATAGGTACCCACAAAGGCTACTTAAGTGAACCCACTTAGGATAAAGATACAGTTTTCATCATGCATTGTGTAAAAATTAACTCATTGAGATTTACTTGTAAACAGAAACTAATGAAAATAAATTAAAGGCGATTTTATTATGAAAATGAAATGATGGCAAGATGGACGCATTATGAAATATAGGTGGAATGGTAATTTTTTGAAGGAACCAGGAATTAAGGATTGATTTAGGTTTTGGTGTATTTATTGCTTTTATGTCAAACAAAAATAGGTTTCATATCTTTTACTTTACATTTTGCTTCGTTGTACCCTGAATAAGCAATCCTGGTTTTCTAATATTTAAGCCCACCATCCATTTTCAAAGGACTTAAACATTTTTTAGTTTAAACTCAGGATGGCAGAATAACAAGATTCAAGAGACAGACCCGGGCTCTGAGCTCACAGAGTGGCTATCCCAGCCCTGGCCTGTCTACCTCAGACATTTAAAAATAGCTTTATGGGCATGTAATTAATATATCATGAGATGTAATAATTCAATCATATTAATAAGAGCTGTGCAATCGTCACCGCAATCAATTACAAAACATTTTCTTCTTTCTCATACTCATTGTTATTAGTCCCCCTCCGCTCTGTCCCTCCCCCCACCTCCCCTGTCATGCCCCTGGGTAACTATTAATCCAGTGACTGTCTCCTTAGATTTACCTAGCGTGGATTTCACATGCAGAAAATCAAACAAGAGACAAACCAACAACAATGACATAACAAAACAGAGAAAAGCTTTAATCAGAAAGAAAACAAAAAGTAACAAAACCTGAAACAACTTTAAAATGAGTCAAAGAGAGATCAAATGATACAATGATACATTTTAACCTAACTACCTCAGCCATAATGATGTCTGTCCAGACATTTTAGAAAATAGACTTAATTTCTTAGAGCAGTATTAGGTTTATAGAAATAATATATAGGAAGAAAAGAGTTTCAAATACTTCCTCTCCCCCATGCAGTTTTTGTCTATTATTACTATCTTGAATTACTATGGTACATTTGTTACAACTGAGGAACCAAAATTAAAATACTATTACTAACTAAAGTTTATAGTTTACATTAAGGTTTTGACAAGTTCAAGGTGGCATGTGTCCACCGCTACAGAGTCCGACAGGCCTTTCAATGCCCTAAAGATGCCCTGCGCTTCTCTCCAAGGACCACTTTTAATCCTTTGATATTCAAGTCATTCCTGTTGGAAGAACCTATTTTGTGATCCTCCTCATTATTTTGTTCTTCGTTTGCTGACAGATCCAGTTCTCTCTGACCCTCACAGGCTTTCCACGTGCCTTCCATGTGTGACGTTCTCTAACTCCATTTCTTTGTCTTCATGAACACTGCTGTCTGTGTACAGTGAACTAGATCTGACAGCCCCGCAAGCTGCCCTGGGCCAGAAGACAGGGAGTAGACACGAGTTACTGAGGGGCGAATGTACGAGTGAGCATTCATTTTATAAACGGGAAGCTCCAGAGTGATATTTTCATGTAACGATAGCATTTGTTTTCTTTTACATCGTAGCTGTGGGGCCTTAGGTACTAAGTATTTGTTAGAGAGTGGCCCCTCGTCCCTCTGATCTGAAACCCAGAGCACTGAGGTGCTGTTCAGCAGCCGTGTGGCGAGCACTTCCCTTTAACTTCAAAGCAGCAGTGGCCAAGCTCCCTACCCCTTGGCGACAGACAGCCCGGCTCAGGGTTCATTGAGGCCCCATCCCAGGGACTTGGCCACAGTGAATGCTGCTCATCGTTGCTTTCAATGAGGCAAGAGCGTTGCTCTGCTTCTCTGCAGGTGACTCTGGCCTTCCCAGAACGGAGTGCCCTGCTGCCCCTTCCTGCTCCTGCTTCTCCCCAAGTGTGGACAATCCCCCAAAGCATTAGCAGTCGTAGACGATAACCAGCATCTCTGGGGAGAACTTGGGGATTAAAGAAGGGAATGGCAATATAGAGCAGCCGCAGCAGCAAGAAAGAAATGGAAAGACAGCTATTGCGGTTAGTTAAGACTTTGAGGTTAGTTCCTCCTGGGTCTACATTTAGCCACCTTAAAGGACTTCACACCCCTCATCAGGAGACACAAAACTAGACAGCCCAAAGACTTTCTGGACCTGGCAGCCACATGTGAGAATTTTATAAATGGGAAGTGTATGAATGCCCGAGTTAGCCAGTGGGAGCTAACCAGCCAGATTTCAGCTCTACACAAGCCTACATATCTGTGACCTTGAACCAAAACCAGACTTTACTAAAATGAGGTGTTGGGTTCTGAAGGCTCTTCAAATGCCATCATTTTATTTCTGTTTCCAATTAGCATTAAGGCATCAAAGACAATGTTTTCAGGTTCCAACAACTTCTGCCTTGCTAAGGCCCAGTGGGAAAAGGACCCTTGAGGACTTCAGGTGAGCCAGGAGCCAGGAAGCCCATGGAGGCATAAGGACTCTCGCCAGCCCAATCTGGGCTTGAATCCTAGCTTCTGCGCATCCTGGTCAAGAGCCCCTGGGCAAGTCGATGAGCATTTCGGTGCCTCTGTTTCTCGTCTGTACTCCAGACTCTGACTGTTCCACCCAGGCCTTGAGCTTCTTCATTGGCCGGCAGGGACCACGAAGCCGGTGCAGTTAGAGCTCCAGCCTGGGGGTCTCATCAGCTTCCACGTTCTTTTAATCTTCTGCTTTCACCGGCAGCCACTGGGCCTCACTGAGCTCTCTAGAGGCTAGTGAAGCATTGTCCACGAAGAGCTTCTCCCCCACCGTGTCCCCACCAGATAACCCACGTGGAGTTTCTCAGGGGCAGAAGAGGAGTCAGGCCTCTCGAGTGGGGCTGGAGCCTCCAGGGACTGAAGGCCAAGACTCTGGGAGCAGAGGAAGCCAGACAGCCAGGGAAGCGTGGGGTTGGCCAGGAGGACTCAGCTGGAATTTTTGGTACCGTGTGAATTCCCACTTCATGAACAGGCAAAGAACAGAGCATCCTTCTGAGTTTACAGCTCCCTGGGGTCCAGCATTAGTTCTGGTGCCTTAGGCCCCTGCCCCCACTTCCCGTTGCTGGCATGAGCTCTAGCTGAGCCTTTCCACACGAAACACAGAATCAGTAGGACTAGATCCTGTTGTTCTTCCTATGTGTGCGTGCAAGTGCACCAACAGTGTGTGCACACACATACTTTAGGTTCCTAATTGGGAGCTGAAATAGAAAGCCACAAACAAATCTCAGAGTAAAGGCTCCCAACAATATGACTGGCACAGCATTTGGGGGGCTGGCCCTTGATCACGGAGTGCATCAGAGGAATGAGCTCACAGGCGGAGTTCTCTGGCAGGAGTAGAAGTTATTAGGGCACAAACGTAGGATCTTAAGGGACCTCAGAACCAGAAGGCATCACAGGTCACTTCCCTGTCCCCCTTCCCAGCAGGCAAAGCTAATCCATCCTAGTGAGCCCCAAACAAGTCATCTTGGGAACTGAGTAAGGCTCACATTCCTCAGTTACCCTAGTGCTCCAGATTCAGAATTTCCTGGGGTGGGTCTTGAGACTTTAGGAATATCATTATCCAGGGAGCTCATTCCCTAAGATAAAAGTCTACACCAGGGATAATGGACTCTTCTCCTTTCCCAGCGACTCTCGCTCCATTTGCCACCCACAGCAGCCTGTTGACATTAGGTGCTGTCCAGTCAGCGCTCACTGCTAGCAGCCTTGTGCACTGCAGAAAGAAACACTGCCCTGTCCTCCACCGTCCTCCACATTGCTCTTCTCTTTGAGCCCAGGGCTGTAGCCGGTGGGCTGATTTCATCTTGCTGCGGCTCTTCCTCTCTTCCATTGCCCCTCCACTTCACCAAGCCATGATGTCCTTCTCCGGGACTGGCCTCTCCTGACAACACACAGAGAAGTGAATTATCTTCCTCCATGTCCTTGTAGCTCGTACGTGCCAAACCCAGGATTTAGATCAGCGGGGCCTGGCCTGGATCCCGTGTTCTCAGCTTCTACCTGACAGGAAGCACTGAGGACTTTGTCTCTGGACCCTCAGTGTGAACGCTGGTGTCTGGCCAAAGGGCTACTCACCTATGTTCCCAAAGCCACTTGTCTGAGAGGGGCCGACCTGAGCCCCTGCGGCATTCACTGTTACATAGACTCCAAATCACAGCGACCTGTGGTGCTGGGTCTTACCAACCCCCCCGGGGAGCAGCCACATCAGCTTCCCCATTAGCTGTAGGACCAGTGAACAAAGTTCAGGGCCGTGAATCCTGTCAAGACGCTGTGCTGCCCAGACTCCACTGAGTGCAAACCTTCCTCTTTCTCCTCAGTCACTCAGCAAAAAGAGCACCATTTGATGCACCCAGAGACACTGAGCACCACGCCATTCCCTGCTGCGGGCCACCCACCCTCCCACCCACCCTTGTTCCTCTCAATCCAGGTCTCACAAGCTTATACCCCGTGCTTCCCTATTTGCTCCTCTGGGCAGACACTGGCGCTCAACCCTGTGGTGGAGCAGGGGCCTGTGGGCTGGGGGCTGTGGCAGCACTCAGCAAACTGGCGGCATCTGCCCAGCGTCCAATCTTACAGTAACTGAGATGAGGGTGAGTGAGCTCAGGAGAAGCAGCCCTCCGTGTGCGGTCCTCATAGGAAGATACCTGCTGGTTCAGCTCCTGGAATCTCTAGCCACCAAGCCAAAACCACTCAACTG